ACAGATAGATAGGCCAGGTATACTTATACGCATCCTCATGATATAACTGCTTCACTTGCACTTTGTACGTATAATCTTTCACCAGGTCTTGGCATTGGTTCAGAAATCCTGAAGGTTCTGAGTGAGGTAACGTTTTTACTGTGCATTTAAAGCTTCTTCAATGACACATTCAGTGTAATTTCAACTGCAATCCTCATTTATCCTTGTCCTATGTTGTTTCTTCCACAGACGGCAGTGAAGACTCGCTGTAGCAGCATGCACTTCATCGTAGCAGAAAACAACACAAAGTCAATTGAGTTCTACAAGCGACGAGGAGCTGCTGATCTCTCCTTTGAGGAGGGCTGGCGTCTTTTTGAGATCGGAAAAGAGGAGCTGCTGAAAATTAATGCTAGTTAATTAAATGGCCTATACTGACAGTTAGTGGTAGTAATCCTGTTTTGATTAGTTAGTGATTCGACTCAGTCTTAATAAATACATTTACTAATCAATGGTTCCCTTTGATAATAAACAGTTTCTGCCTATTTCAGTTCAGTTCTGTTTCATGCTGTGACCCTTTGATGCATCCTGACCCTTAGCCTGGGAACACTGGGACAATTATTTACTGTACATAGGAGTTTGTGTGTGTGTGTGTGTTGCTTTCATATTTTTATTCCCTTTACAATAAATCCATAGGCGTACAGTTTGTAATGTTAATCCTCATGTGCCAGTACCTCAATGAGTGGTAGAGGTTTTCAGATCTTTTTAATTTAGTAAAAGTAGCAGGACCAAAATGTAATAATACACAATTACAATTATAAGTAAAGAACCTGTATTGAAAATGTTGAATAAGTTAAAGAAAAGAAGTCTTATCAGCTAAATGTACATAAAGTTTCATACAAGTAAAAGTCCTTATAATGCAGCAGAGTGATTCCTGTCAGCATTATTATAAACTATAACATTGGATTATTATTACTGATAAATTAAGATGGTTCTAGTATTTTAAGTCTGAACTATTTTGGAGACTGTTTATTTTTAAACGTAATGACTTTGTAATATAGGCTAATTAGTAAGTTAACCTCAGGTAAACAAGGTTATAACCATATATATACTGTTCCTCTGAAATGTGGAGTTTAATACCAGCTTACAGTACTAGTAGCTCCAGTTTGTACTTGCAAATGTAGTCAACTGCTCTTTTAACTGTAACCTACTTCAGTTACTGTAAACAATACTAGCTCACTGCTTTCACGTTGGCTTTTTTCTTCCAGTAATTAAGTTGTGGTTTAAACGCCCTTTAATACAATAAATAAAAAAAAACTATTATATTTGACCAGCATAAAATGGAATGAAGTGCACTTGATACAGCAGTGTTTGTACTCAGAAAATGATACTTTATGTTTCATTGGAAACAAGTTAGCGGTTTGTTTAAATGTTGATGGTCTCCGTGTAGAGGTCATAGTTTAATCACCTTTTATTGTTCACCTCTGCGTACGAGTCGACCGTGAGGGGAACTGTTGCAGTTCTCCCCCATTACTAGCGGCACCAATTTACTAATTAGAGTTGACACTCCCGTGCAGGTTTTCGCATATCCTGTTTGAACAGAGTTCTTCTTCATTATGGCCTCTTCGGTGCCTGCCGGTCTGATTTCCACCACGACCCTTCCGCATTTTCCTACTGCTCTCGGGCTGTGACGTCTCGTGCTGACGGCGGCCTCGGAGCTGGAGAAGCGGGGGGCTGTAGCATGACAAGACCTGGCTCCAGACGTCCTGCTTTGCTTTCAGCATTGCTCCAGAAACAACCCTTAGCCCCTCCTTCTCTGCTCCTCTCCGGCCCGCCCAAATAACACAGAATTCCCGACTGAATCCAGCCCGAGTCTGGGGGTACCAGGCGGCCTGGGAAGCCGAGAATCGGATAGAGGCCGTCCCTGCAGCATTAATCTGGTACGCGTGTAATTTTGCTCCTGGCGCGCTCGTTTGCAGCTCTAAGTTAGCATTGGTGTATGTATGTGTCTCTTTGTTTTTGCATGCATGTGGTATTTCAAGTTATTTCTTTATTCACACAGAGAGGCCGCAAAGGGCTGGGCCTTTTCTTCTCAGGCCCAGGCCTCAATAGAGGCCATAATTGGTCATTTCAGGCCTATCCGGTTAGCTAGCGAGACTGCTGAAAGTAAATGGTTTTTATTTTCGCCAGTCGTCGATAGATGATCTCATTTCAAATCGATTATAACAGTTGGTGTGTAGTAAGACCTCTGACAGAAGAGTGGTTAACAATTTTTTGTCGGTGAGGTGTATATGCTATACATATTAAGATTAGCGCTCGTCCATACACCAAGCTAACAAAATGGCGGTCACCGCTGTAATGAAAATCGGTTGTAGAAAAGGAGTGTGTTTAGCCCTCCTCCCGCTAGCTCGCTACTCCAGTGTCATTAGTGTAGACCACACGTAATATTTGTGGATTATTTAGCATTTCTATCTTAGACAGGTGTGTAGGTGCAGTTCTTCCCAAATGTTTTTGGCTGTGACAGTCGGACTTGGCGTGTAAAATGAGTGCTAACGCTAACGTTACTCCAGTGGTCAGTTGAAGACATTGCCGTCAAATCACCTCGTCGGATTTTACACAGTTTAGCGTTGCATGAATGAGATGCTAAGTTAGACCCCCCCGAGTGAGTTTTTATGTGTTGGTGGCATATTTTCAGCACATTGTACTATATTGTGCGCGATATTTCCACACATCTTTTTCCACTTGGAGGTGGGGGATGGTACGTTCAGAAGAAATTAAATGGTACCTTAGCTGGATCGTCCACACATCACTGTTTACATCTCTGAACCCCAGCCCCCCTCCCCCCCCGTGTTTGTGACTGGGGAGGTTTTGTCACACAGTTTATCTCCTTCATCTCCATAATGAAGGTAAAACCAACTGAGCTGCCTGCCAGGGTTGTTTTGGGGACTTTTTAAACATTTGGGTGGGAGGTTTAGTGATGCAGTTTTGTCACTGATCATTTCACTTTGCTGCAGACGCAAGCTAAAGCTGTACATTTGCATTTAATCATTGCAATTGATAATTGAGTCATTTTTGCCAGCAGTCGGGTATCTTTTCAGTGCAGTTTTTATATCAAGTGACCTTATCTTGTTTGCGTGAATAAAATATAAAAACAAAGGAGTCTCTCCATGAATTTGGACACATTTTGTTCAGTACTAAAACATATTGAGGATTGAAGCTCAGCTCTATTTTTAATAGAAAATGTCAAGCCAAACCGATGTTTACATTTTCAGGCCCACAGAAACTAGTGAATAAAATATTTCCTTCAAAATGACTCAACAACAGTCTGAGGGGTTTGCATTAAATGATAAGATGCTACTCAGGCTGCTATAGTTGTGCCTCACCGTGCCAGTGACCTCTTTGTCATGGGAATCATGTTATATCAGATTAACAACACATGTGACAAGCTGATTGTAGCTTTCCCTGGGTGCACATAGAAATGAAGTTCTTTGTGCTATTTTTAGAATCAGGTTTGATGATCTGCGTCATCTGGTTTTCTGTTCATATTGTCTCAAATCATGTTAATGACCATAAACATACTCATCTCTTTTTACTTGATAGTCTTAACACACACACAGCATAGGGAGAGAAAAATGCATCTTTTTCAAGAAGGCTGCCTGTGGATATCACTGTATTATGCAGTTAATACACTACATGGGTAAATGATCTTAGGTGAACTACAGTGCACTTGGTCTGTTTTGCTATTTAAGCAAAATACTGAAAAGCATTACTGTGCTTGTATGAAATAATGTTTAACTGTGGTGATGTATTGGTTTTAAGTTACTTTGTAAGCATTGTAATAACTAATCTATCAACTGTTGAGATTGTTTCCAATAGTTTTGGTCACCAAAGATCTAAGCTTTCTAACATTTGTTTTCAGCTTTTCAGTAACAAATGCAGTGCAAGGACAATGGATGAGGATGTCGCCAGGCTTGCAATACATTCAGAAGAGCCTAAAATAATATTACACGGATCGGGTAATTTTATTAATGTTTTTTTATTTACACAGTATGTTTTTGGGGTATGTGAGAGTTTTGATAAGCATGACAGTACTGGGGTATTTCAAGAAGCAGGATTTTTTTGGTTGGCCAGATAACTTGAAATATTTGAATGACAAAAGTAAAGTGTTCTCCAAAATAAGATGTTTGTATGGTTTTTATTATGTATTAGTAGGAAACAAGTAACAATATTGAAATAGTTGGTCATTTTCTGTATTAATAATATTTTCAACAGTCTCCCTATGGAGACTAAAACCAACAGCCTCTACTCACAGTTAATATCTGTCAATCTCCAACCTGGATTATTTTACTCATCTGTGCCATAGACCTTTGTTGTTGCTCAAAGATGATTAAAAACACATCAGGGAGACGCACCACTGCACTGGGTGATGCCTCTTCATTACAAAACACAAGACAAATATATGCTAAGAATGTGTCCTCAAACTCTTCAAACAGACGTACGTATTTATAGTATCTGAAGTAAGCAAAAGTCAACTGCACATATGCAAGATCTCCATGAGAGTGTGAGGAGCTAGCACAAGTAAAACAAAACAGAGGGCTCGCACACATATCTCATACATGAGGAGTTGACTTGCTTGTTTTTGAGCAACACTGGGGGTCTAGATGGCACAGATGTATAAAATAATCCAGGTTGGAGACTGATAGTCATTAACCATGAATAAAGGCAATTCACTGTTGGGTTTTAGTCTCTAGATGGGGATTGCTGAAAATACTATTATTATAGAAAATTGCTGGCCTTATACTTTATGGATGTTGTAAAAGGCACATTAAACAATAAACTGCCCTTGACTGTTATCTGGTTAACTGGGTAATCCTGCTTCTTACAGATGAGGGTGGTGCCAGCGGGCAGGAGTTTGTTGTGGAGCTTCAAGAGACTGTGTTGGTGTCAGAAGGCGAGGGGGAAGGCATGGCGGTTCACAGGTTTGCCCCAGATGAGCTAGTCATCCAAGATGCTGTTGAGGATGTGGTTTCTGAGTATGTGCACTGCGATGAAGATGAAGATGTCGCTGTAGAAACCTGCGTAATGGCTCTGGAGGGCGAGGAGGAAGGTGTTGCCATGGGAGACATCCCTGAAGATGGGCTGGACCCAGAGCAGCAGGAGGATGACCAAGACGGTTGTGGAGATTACCTAATGATATCCTGTAAGTTTACTGCTCTGCAGTGCTAGCAGCTTCCAATGGTTCTTAGTTCTGCAGAACAAGGGTGAGAAGTTACCTTCAAGACCTTTTGAGGTTGTCTTTAACCACCTATGCTTTAATGAAGAGCTGCTGACCACATTTAACCACATCCTGTGGGGTGTTTTGAGGTGAAATACAGTTTTAAAATGATGAAATTCAAACTGTAGTATTTATAAACCAGAACTACTACTAAACCATTATTTCCCTCACTTTGATTAATGGTACTAGAACTCAGAATTTACTCAGTAATATTGGAGTATTCAGACACGCTGCAAAAATAGTATTATTTACGTTTCATAAAATGTATAGCTATACATAAATGCTCAAATCTAAGCTGCGTCTTTGTTGAACATAAAGTGCTGAGGTATTAAGTATTTGTGTTTCATTCTTTACATCTTTAATGAAGTGTGATGTATGTTCCCTTTGCTAGTGGATGAAGCTGGTAAAATGGTTTCTGAGGATGGAACGGAGGTAACAGTGGAGGGGGGTGTGGAGGACCAAGAAGTGGAGAAGGATGAGGATGGGCAGGAGGTGATCAAGGTCTACATTTTCAAGGCTGATTCTGGGGAGGATGACATGGGTGAGTAGCAGTTAACCATTGGCCTCTGTTGGGTTATAATTTGACTCTTCAATATTCCCGGGTGCTAGTGATTATTACCACAAAATATCCTGTTAATGTCTGTTTTATCAAAAAATTAGATCAGTCTTCATCTGTAAATTTTATTATTTATTAGACGAACTTGTTTTCTGTGGAGGCTACTGGCCAGATAAAATGTTTTCTGTTCTCAGCAGTTTCCCAATGTCAAATAATTTGTTAGGTTAGTCAAAAATTAGATAATTTAAAAGGTGTTTTCATTCTGCAGGAGAGTCGGTTGACAACAGTGATGGAGACACAGAGAGTGTGGCGTTAACAGAGTCTTCAGGCCAAACGCTCAGAGAGAAGATGGTTTACATGTCTGTCGGGGATTCTCATCACAATCAAGGAAACCATGGTAAGTCCTCTGTCAAGTGGGGATGACTGTCATGATAGTATACGTAGTTTTTTGGTTTTGTACATCTTGGGCTCATCTACAGGTGGGTCCAAGGTGACTGATGAGGTATATATGGAGGTGGTGGTAGGAGGTGAAGAGCCAGTAACTCACGACCGCTCGTATGACAGCGTGTCTCTAAGCAAGGACTTCATGCCTGTGGCCTGGGCAGCTGCTTATGGTCAGCACCCTTGTCTATTAAATTGCTTTTGAAACAACACTGGAAGCCTGTGCATCAGCAACGTCTCTGAGTGTCTTGGTTTAAACTTTACAAATGTTGGTATTGTATATTTTTGCATTAAAGACACTGTATTGTTTTCACAGGTGCGGACGACAGCGAGAGTTGCGAAAACCGTAACGGTGCGGCCAGTGCACTGCTGCACATTGATGAGTCGGACGGAGTTGATGAAATCGGTAGACAACGCAGCAAGAGCAGGAGACGGTCAGAGCCTCGGCAGGTCCAGACAGGTAAGGGCAGCACAAAGGATGTGGGAGTTTAATCCTCAGGCCAGATTTGTTCTCTGTCCACATGCCATAAAGAAGACCTGTAGATCATAACTGCTCTAGTGGAGTGGTGCGTTATTTTCATTATTAATAAGTTAATATTTTTGATTATTGATCAGTAACAAATGCTTGCAATCAAAGCCAGAATTGGTTTTAAAATTGCAATAATCTTTTTTCATTAATCTGATGACATGTCTGATCGCTGATCGCTTTTTCATAAAAGTTGCGATGGCATTCTTACTAGATCAGACTTGTGGCTTTTTTTAATCAGCACGGTTCAGCCCGTTTTTATTGTGTAGAGCTGGGTGCGCATGGATTGGCCTCCATTTCCATCTGTTTCTAACAGCAGGGTGTAATCGTGCTGACTTGGTTCAGTTGATTCTTGTTCTACCCAGGGCCATGGTCTGCCTTCAACACAGCCGACTCCTCAGTTGACTGAAATGTAGCGCTAAGGAATTGTCCTTTTACATTCAGCATTGACTTTTTAAACTGTAAATTCACTGCAGCAAGCTTTGAAAAATGGAGTCTCTCACTTGGTCTTTTGATGAGGGGTTGAGCACCAAGGGCTTCATGTTGCAAGCTAATAACACCACACCGACACAGCAAGTTTTGCTTCCCGGTGGCTCACACTGCCCCCACCTGATGAAGCTGTGGAAAATAAACAATGCATTCAGTGGAAGCAAAACTGCACTGACCCAGGAACAGCAAGAGCCTCCACTGCCCACATGTTAGCTCAGCAGGAGAAGTCAAAAACGCAATTAGTGACATTTACATATCACATTCAACACAGTACATTCTGAACTGCATGCAGTCACATGTATATGCGCACACAAGATTTCAATAGGGCAAATGATAGGCAGCTGTGGCTCAGGAGGTAAAGCAGCTATTCCCTATCTGGAAGTTGATGGTTCAATTCGCGTTCTCCCCAGGCCACATGGCAAAGTGTCTTTCAGCAAGACACTGAACCCAAAGTTGCTCCTGATGGTCAGAGCAGCGCCTTGCAGCGACAACGCCACCATCAGTATGTGAGTTGGTGCTGCAGATGGCTGCCTTGGTCCTGTACCGGAGACAAATTCCTTGTGTGTACAACATATTTGGCCAATATCATTATTATCAAATATTGTGTGCATAGTGTGCCTCTCCGTCACGTTATGGATATCTCTGAATGAAGCCATGAGGAATATTAACATGAAAGTGACCCAGGTCTGGGTGGCAGGTGGCCATTGCCTCACCAAATTGATGAAGCCCACTATTGCATATTCCATGTCTGAAAAGAACAATATTGAGTTGAAATTAATAGGAAAAAGGAAAGAAAGCGACAGACTGCATTTGTTATAGGTGGCATTTGATGACTTTAGCTTGATTCCAATAATACAGTCTGACTCACCACTTCTGAGTGGTTAGCATAGGGATTTGTCATTTGCCTTCTATAGCTAGCAGTTGTCTTCCACTAATTTATTGTTGATTGACCAGAAAAATATTTTGGATATGCACTCCATTGACAGGAAACCCTATATTCACTGTTCACTATAAATACAAGAAAAAACTGTGTCTGCATCATTGACTACGTTGACTAATCACAGAGGCCCCAATAGAATTCATGAAATAATTCTGAGGACAAACCCGTAAAGGCAGGACTTGGGTGAACTCGCAACAGTTTTCTTTTGTTTTTGACTGTTTGAGTAAAAGACATTTCTGACACTGAGGATCTGTAAAGATATGTGCTTCTGCTTTAATCTTCCTAGTTGCTGTTTTGTCATTGTTCTGATTTATGCATCTTCTTATCCAGATGATATTCATGTGTTACTGTTTTCTCCTCAGTATAATCTTTAACCTAACTGTTGCCATATGAAGTTCAGATTGGTTGTGTGAGCACTAGCTATTGTGTTGCAGCTTATTTTTATTTGTTGATCATACTTTTTCTATATAATAAATCTGGGGAAAAATATAACTTATCTAATTTTAAATAATTTATGCTACTAAGGTCATTGGTTACTATTTTAAAAGGATTTAATCATCAAAATTTCAACTAAGATGACAAAGCTGACTTGATAAGATTATGGTCATGTTGTCATTTCCTTCTTGCTCTTGTCATTTTTCTCCCCAGCCATCATCATTGGTCCGTATGGTCAGCCTCTGACAGTTTACCCCTGCATGCTTTGCGGTAAAAAGTTCAAGTCACGAGGCTTTTTGAAACGCCACACCAAGAATCATCACCAGGATGTTCTGACCAGGAAAAAGTACCAATGTACAGACTGCGACTTCACCACGAACAAGAAAGCCAGCCTCCACAACCACATGGAGGTGCATGCTCTAAGCAGCAAGGCTCCTTTTGAGTGTGAAATGTGTGGCAAGGAGTTCCACCAGCAGGCGGCACTGTTCTCTCACAGACTGCAGCACCACCACCGAGAGCCCAAGAGCCAGCCGCCTCCACCGCCCACCAAGATGCACAAATGCAAGTTCTGTGACTATGAAACTGCTGAGCAAGGACTGCTCAATCGGCACTTGTTGGCTGTTCATAGTAAGAGTTTCCCTCACATCTGTGTGGAGTGTGGAAAAGGCTTTCGACACCCTTCGGAGTTGAAGAAACACATGCGCACACACACAGGTGAGAAGCCTTACTCCTGCCTGTACTGTGACTACAAGTCGGCCGATTCCTCAAATCTCAAGACGCACATCAAGACTAAGCATAGCAAGGAGATGCCATACAAATGTGAGCGCTGTTTCCAGACCTTTGCGGAGGAGGAGGAGTTAATGCAGCATGGACTAACACATGAGGAGAACAAGACCCACCATTGTGCCCACTGTGATCACAAAAGTTCCAACTCCAGTGACCTGAAACGCCATATCATATCTGTTCACACCAAGGACTATCCCCACAAATGCGCTGTCTGTGGGAAAGGCTTCCACCGGCCATCTGAACTAAAGAAGCACTCAGTATCCCACCGCACCAAGAAACTTCATCAGTGCAGGCACTGCAACTTTAAAATTGCAGATCCTTTTGTTCTCAGTCGCCATATCTTGTCTGTCCACACGAAGGAGCAGCAGGCCTCTCCTGAAAAGAGTGAGGCTAAGAGGACAGAGACGCACACTCCTGTTGTGCCACCTAAAAAGTCTGCACCCAGTGGCTCTAGCAGCTCTGGCCCACCTGCTAGAGTCAGTGCAGCCAGTTTAGCCAGTAGTGTGACTGTTGTTATCGGTAAAGGACAAAAAGAAAGGAGAATTTACCAGTGCCAGTACTGTGACTACAGCACCGGGGATGCTTCGGGGTTCAAGCGGCACGTGATTTCCATTCACACAAAAGACTATCCGCACCGCTGTGAGATATGTTCGAAAGGCTTCCGGCGCCCCTCGGAAAAGAACCAGCATATCATGCGCCACCACAAGGACGTGGTGCAGGCAGAGTGACTCTGACCGAGCTAAATACTGTGCCACAACAAAGAACAATGTTGAAGCAGCCATCACACTCGAATCACTGCGCCCTCAGCACGACACCGTTCACATTGAAATAATGTGGTGTGTGTTGCATTTAGTCTGTTCTGTTGCTGTACTTCTTTTTAGATCCTCAGCTTCATGTTTGTTCAGAAATGTATACACATGTACATAACCTTAACGGTCTGTCAGAGTTAGCAACACAACCCCTCTGTAGACTTGCACTTTTAACTGCATGTCCCTTGCTGGCGACAGTGTGCATGGCAGATTGTGCAGATGTCTCTTTGTAGATAAACGTTTTTGGTTTCGCAGGCAGCAATCAGTTCTCTATCACAATTGTCATTTTGTCTCAAAACTAAAGTGTAATTTGTAAAACATTTGCATAATTTTGTTAAAATATGCTAAACACAGCAGTATGGATTAGCAGCCTGTTCCCAGTAGCACTTGCCATCTTGGTAAAGATCATGATCAGAGCAGTAATCAAGTCATGTATGATATTTCTGTGTGAGAGAGAAAACATCTGTTATGCTTCCTGGAGTTCTGACCCCGCCCTTTTAAGATAATGCATTTTGTTGTGTCAACAAAAACAAACGAGGCCTGGCAATATACAGCACCCAGAGAAAAGAGACTGTCACTCTATGGTTTGTCCACAGGTCTACAATAATTAAAAGAACACAAAATACACAGTGAGATAGTGAATTTGTTAAGATGGTGGATAAAATGTATGCACTGCAATGCGATCCTTGCCCCGTCATTTGGTTATCACATGGCCGTCTGATATTTCTGTTTCAAGTCGGTATGTGTACTGTGACATGTTCCGAACAAGTGCCCAGAGTAGTAGAGATGAAGGCTGACAGTATTGTTTAATCCATTAATGCTACGTGAGGAGTGAAATCCCATTAATTTGAAAATTTAGATTTATGTGAAAAGACAGTGTATGTTTTCAACATTATTACTGATGACAAGCTGTTTCTTTAATCTAATGAGCAAGTTTGTTTTTCATATGAATTGATATATCTGTGAAATCACAGAGGAAAATCATCAGTATGATAATATTAGGCTGGGTGGGTTTTTAAAAAATGTTCATATTGTTGTCCCATCATGATATTTTGGCCTCAGTGGAAATCATGCAGTATATCTGGTGCTTCTGTTATGAAACTAAGAACTGAGTGCTTTGTTTTCACCAAACAAACAAGTACTTTTGCCAGTAGAAAGGGAAAATGTATATCTTTTTAGATGCAACTTCAGAAGATTGATGCTGGTGGTGTATTCGTACTATGGCTTTTTACATTGTTATCACCTGTGATTATTTCTGTTTTTATATTTATTTCACTTACAAGTTGTATAGTTAAGTGTAGACTTCTATGGGACGTAAATTATTGTTTTGTATACAAAACTGTACAAAGCGTGTAGCTGTAAACACTTCATAAAACAGAAATCGGAACTGTGTTGTTATGGATGTACTTCAATGTATTTGTTAAAAAACTAATAAAAGCAAAGTATTTTAGCCTGTTGTCTTTTGGCAAAGAATCATTTGATTCTTTTCTGAATTTTTACAAACCAGTGAGAAAGGCCCATCACAAACAACAGAGCCCAAAAAACCTTTTCCAATTCTTTTTTTTTTGTTTGTTTGTTTGTTTAAACAATTGTCTGAACTTCAACTTTAATAAAAAGAAAAGCAGCTAATCATCATGTTTGAAAAAGGTGTGGTGATGAAATTTACAAACGGCATATTTTATAAGCTTGGTCGTTTTTATGTAAGAGTTTGTGAAGTCATTTGTAATCACTGCTGCCACATCAAGGTGTTGCAGTAAAAGTGCTACTTTGAAATGTAGTGGTGTCGAAGTATAAAAGTGTCAAATACTCCTGTCGAGTACCTCAAGCGCCTAAAATTTGTACTTAGGTTGTTAGTGTACTGAATGTAATATAACTATAGTAAATGTGTTTAGTTGCAGTCCTCTGCTGCTCATGTGCATGAGACCAACAAAAGTGGGACCTGCTCATGAAAAAACAACTCTGGCATTACATGAGGGCAAAAACTCCACTGGGAACCTTTAAGACGAGTATGTACAAGTATGATTTTGTGTGATCAGTAGTTACACTTTTGAAACAGACCACTTGTCTATTCATAGGTGGGGGATTATTCAGGAGAAGGAAGAGCTAACTGTTAGCAGTTTTCAACCAGGTAATTGAACATAAGACAATTCAAAGCAAATCATTTTGTCTTACATGTCCAGGGCCTTAGATGCAGGTAGGTAATAGCAGTCTTGAATAATGAACCAGGTTTTACAGCATGTTTAATGATGTATAATGAGTGATTTTTAAGACAATATTTGACAGAGCAGAGCAAATTAAAAAGAGATTGTCTCAGATCATGGCCCTGATAGATGTAGCGTCTTCAAACAGCATTGCTGACATTTGAAGACCGGAGCAAAAGACCTAGGCAGCTTGGGCACTCAGCTATAGAAGGAGAAGAAAAGAGAAAGGTTATTGGTGTATAGTGTCATTCTTAATCGTGGGGTAACTTCATTTCCACTGATATACAAAGTACCATTTTTGGGGAAGAAAGCAAGGATGCCAGTCTCCAAGGAGAACTGGCTGAACCTCCGCAGCAGATCATCACTGAGGTCCACCCCACGGCCCGTCATCATACTTCACCTCAGCTCTGCTCATGTCATTGTTGCTCCCCCAGCCCGACAAAGGGAGGAAAAGAGAAAGCATGTGAAAAGCAGCAGATGGTTTACTTGTCAATGTTGCTCGTACGCCTCTGTCTGCTCAGTATTTAGGGGTGTGTTGCTGTACTTCCGCTGACTTTAGAGCCATAAGAGCTTCTAAGAAACCACTGAAACATGATTAGCATCTTCGCCACTGACCTCTCTCTCTTTCTCTCTCTTTATTTTCCTTTTCCAGGTCCCTGTCAGCAGTTGGTGTGAACATGGCCATGCTCATCTTCATGCTGGTTTTGCGGTTGACAAACCACTGGGCATTAGTGGCAAATCCAATCAGGTACCACTTCCTCACCACCTGTGGGTACACACAAAGCAAACACAGCAGAAATTAAACAAAAACACCACACTTTATATACTTGTAGTACCACTGACTGTGCCTACACTGAAACTGTGTTAATTATTAACCAGGATCAACAGAGGAGAGATATGTGAGCTTCCCCGAGAGTATGTGAGGTGTAATTCACTCGGTCTTCAGTCTCCATCTTCATATTTCTGTGTGATATGTGTTTGTGCTTATCAGTATCAACCTCTTCCCCCACCCGTCGAGGTGTGCTTGTTCATGATTTACTTCGATTTTTACACCATTGCCCATTAATGTGCCAGAATGTGGTGTGACATGTTTAAAAAATAATAATTCTTCACTTTAGTCCTTGTAAAAATGTGGAAAATACACAACTCACAATTTTATAAATGCATTTAACAAAATAGGCAGGAAATATGAGCACATTTACATCTGATTTTATGCACACCATCATCCTTTGACAAGTTGCAGCAGACTCAGTTGGGAGGATTAATTAAACAAAATGCATACAGACACTGTATTGAGACTAAAACTTAAATTAATGATAGTTAACTCCATTCTGTGTCTTACCCCATGTAAACTGAAGTGAGCCCACATAACATAACAAAACATAATATAACATAACATTTATGTTTTAACATATAGCGCATAACATAACACAACAGCAAACTATTACTGTTCTTAGCTTTTGTTTATCAGAGACGTTTGGTTGTAAAAGTACCTAGTCTACTACCTCTTCTGTTATCCATTACCCATAGACCAATGCATTATTTCTACCACAGCTTTCACTATGCAGATACAGGACCCAGGATGTGAATACCACTAAAATATGTTGTATATTAACTAGGCATTGATACAGTGTATCTGAATGTACTATATAATTACCTTCAAGGTGTTCAGGTAGCATGAGGCAACACTCGTAAGTTAAATAGGTATCAATGTAGTTCTCTACCACTGGTGGAAAGTACATTTACACTAGTATTGTATGTATTGTCAGTACGGTTCTGAGGTACCTTCTTTGACAATCTCATTTTATGTTACATTTCAGAGGCATTGTCAGTTTTAAGTGCTTTGGTCACAAGGCTGAAGTATTTCTGCAGGATCTTCTGTGTTACACAAGTTCAAAAAAGAATCCAGGGATGCTGATGAAAAGATGAATGAGCTTGGTACCAAGACTATCCAACCGACAAACCTTGCCCATTAAAGCAGGTTTGCCTTTATCCAGAGAAAAAAAATGAAGTTATGTAACAGAAAAGTATTCTTGTCCATTGCCCAAAACAGCCACAGTGTTGGTGCTGAGACATCTGTCCCGTGTGGAAAGGTGGGCATGAATACACACATAGATAAACACACACTTTACATGACCATAGTATATACATTAAATATTGGAAATTCATTGTGACCATTGTGGTATATACATACACATATATGCCTCTGGGTGATAAAAATATCAAAAAGGACAAATATGTGGGTGAAGAGGAAATGCCTGATGGTGAGGCTACCCAAAATCTTATTATTGTCATATATGGACAGACAAACATTTGTTCTTCTTCTGGCTCTGTGCTTTGAAATAAAATCATGGATACAACATTATGCTCGGCTTCAATTTGAGGAGGTTTATATCATAGAAACAATCATGTGTGCAGGGAATTTATTAGACACCCAGCTGCTGTACAGCTAATGCAGAGTCCCGAGTGAAGACCATTAATGGTACCAGCTGGAAGTATGGGGACGCCAAACAACTCTTTCAGTTGAATGATTTAAAAGGGGAAATTGTATTGATTTAAATAGTTTGATTGATTGCTCCACCCAAGATATGCATTATGAGAACTGATAATGGAAAATAATGGGAAGTGTATGGATTAAAAACTTAGAGTGTAGACATTACAAGAGATTGGGCAACATCAACTGCTGGGTTTGCTATTTTCACTATGCTGTATGAAAGATAATATACATTTAAATATAATAAATTATAATGGACAGGATTTGTGCATTAAGCTTAACATGAATATAATCTGTAGCTGGTTACTTACAGAAGAAATCCCTGCATATCTTTAAGTCTGCACAGTGTAAAAGCAGCACCATTAACATTAGAGGAAAGCAATGGACAGCTGTCCGTCTTATCATATCAATCAATCAATAACGCAGAGACAAGCTGCTACAGGAAGTTATGACGCTCATCCTTATGTGGCAGTTCTGAGACCGGATATACTCTATAGTCCCTCCCATATCTCCCCTGGGATAAGTTTGACATACACAAATTACCTGCACAGGCAGGGGTCTTAGATGAAGACCCCCATTCATGTGACTCATGAATTTTTTTTTCCATTTGTGAACTCAAGAATGTTCCAGTCAGGAGAAATAACAGCTGTGGAGACAATGAAATTGCAGCACCTGCAGCCTCATGTTAGCATGCTCACATACTCCACATATTAGCACGTTAAAATACTAAATGTCACATGCCACACACATGCTAACATGCTACCTGCCCTTAGTTCATAGCACAGCAAAGTTACAGCTGAACCTGACAAGCTCAGTTTGAAAGATCCTGTAGTGGTCAGGCTGCAGAGGATGAACACTTTTTATTGTGCTCAGAGTGTGGCCTTTCCTCTGGCGCCACCCTATGGCCTTGATTTAGATTTGTACACCACTTTTGTAGCCAAGAATAGCAAATAATTTCGTTTACTTCTTTTACTTAAACCCCGCAAAGCTAACCCTCATTTATTGCTAAATTTATATTTTTATTTCATTGCTAACTAAGATATGCAATGCAAAATATTTTGAATTCAGTCAGACAACATAAGTGACGTTCACTTTCTGCAGGTAGAGAAAACATGTACATTGACATGGCAGTGCCTGTAGCTTTATTCCTGCAGCTGGAATGCAATTGGCAGTCATCAGCTGATACATCCTGTGAAAAACATGAGATGGAATTCCTCACATGTTCAGTATTAACAGTGTGTTCATGATGTTACTAGAAAGTCTTGTAAAACTAGACCAAGTCAGTGAGGCTGGAGCGAGGAGAAGCCAAGGCATCTGCCATGGTGAAGAACTCAACCCAGTTCTGATAGAAGCCACGTGAATACTCCCCCGTGTCAGTGACGAGTCCCCACAGGCGGCTCTGGCCCGTTTTGTTCCTCAGAGCCAGCTGAGCCTCCCGCTCCGTCACATTGAAGCTGATATTCAGAACTTGTACTACCAACAGATAAAGTAATCCACCTGTGACAATGCTGCTGTACCAAGCGCAGGTGAAACTAAGTGCCGTGCTGTAAACATAAAGAAAAAGTGAATATAGTATTACAGCAATGTAACATGATTGATATGCATTTAGCACAACAGTATTTTTGAAAACCGGCTTCTTCTTTTTTTTGTTAAAACAATACTCAGCTACAGTACATGTTTACAGTCCTGTTACACTATGTTAATTATTTTCAATACTTCTGTTCTGCAACCATAAACCTCTGTGAACATGGCTTAAACAGATAAATCGATAACATTTAACCAATCTTTATTTACACTCAGTATTACACAATCTTAAGCAGTGATTGTCAAATTTTTTCTGCTACTTTCTTAGAGAAACCAAGGTGTTAAATATATATGAAGTTATTACAGTACAGCAGTTTAGCAGTGACACAAGCTCAAAATGTTTTTGTGTTTTCTTTAAACTCAGACTATCTGGAAGCTGTTCCAAAGCTTTAAATTGTACTACCTCAATGTATTGTCAGTGTGTATAAACAGTTGGTGGTCTATAATTTCCAGATAAAACCAATGAAACAGTGGAATTTATGTCCTTGCTATTGATTGATTTGATGTTTGAGGATGACTTTTCCACAGATTTTCGCTAGAAATTGATTGTTTTATTAACTTATTAATTAATAGTAACAGGAAGGTTAGGATTTTGTTTTAATAGTACTTTCAAGGACATGTACAATGTTGATTTCTAAATCTATTCCAGTGTTTAGTTTCATAGTCACCTGCAGTTGTAGCGGAGACAAGAGTTCTGTACCTTGACTGACTGTAGACACCAGGGCAGTAGAAGAGAGCCATCATTAGATACTGTTGAGGACAGAGGCTGCACATCACCAGACTGATCCCATACAGCGAGGTCAACACGAACGAAAGTGCGATGGTTTGCCTGTCCAACGCAGCTGTTTATCCTAAAACACCTCAACATATACACACATAAAGAAACACATGACAATTTATCAATTAAACCTAAAAGCAGCATCACATTGCCTGATATTTCGAACCCATACAACTACTGCTGTATGTGAAATGATACAATAGCCAGATTTAAATGTAGTTTCTTAATATAAACATTTTAATTTTGCCTTTCTTTTGTCTACTGGAGACAACACTGCCTACAGTATAAGAGGCAGGTCAACAATGTGTGTGAGGTGATTTACTGAGAATGGTTTCAGTAGAGATGCAGACTCAGAGGTTTATGTAGTCCAAGGCTGGAGCAGATTTTAGTAGTGTGCACTACAGGAAGGCATTTTGTTAAATCAGCTGTTTAAGCACTATTCAGTGAGTGCCTCGTCCTCCTGTTGCCCTGAGATGGACCCCAGTATACCTGCGTACAGGTCTAGTTTACATGCGAAGATGTTTTTGCTGAGAACTGTTTCCACTTTTTTCACATTTGAAAGGAAGCAGAAATCACAGCAACTGGCAAATAAAAACAAACCTCTCTGCTTTGCTAGAACTGTGGGTAAAGAGAAATAATTGTATGATCTGATGAAACTGCTCTTTAATGACTGACATACAGTATGTTCAGTTAATAGAGTTTTCATAAGTGTTTCTGCGTATTTTCAGATGTCAAAACCAGACAAACTAAGTCTGTTAAGAGCATCAACAGGTTTAGATGTGGTGGATGTACACTTTACAAAAGAGCTACTAAATTGTAATCTAACTGTATAATGTTCATTTTAGTTTCCCTACTGTGGAAGAAAACAGGAGGTGCAGTAGGTAAAGTCTTTGCTGAAAATATGCAAGACATATGCTAATGTCTATGCTAAATCCAACCCACCAGATACAGTGGTGATCTAGACGCTGGACACATGATCCACAGGTTCGACAGTGTCCGGCCCGCGGGGGTCGTATTATTTTGCACACAGGACACCTGCTCCATTTTGGTTTCAGGGCCTCTTTTGTTGTCTGCAACTCTGCTGCAGTCCCTGCAGAGGAGGCTGCTGGTTGGATAGAGTCCATGGTAGTCTGGCTGTGTGCTTCATGTACGGAAGTGGTCACAAATCCTGGGCCTCTCTTGGTGAGAATCAGGGAAATGATAGTGAGAATCATCCCAGTGGTCACCATACACACCTGCAGCTGACTGACATCCCCACGTGGTACAATCTCTGTGATGAAGAGGTAATACATGTAGGCCAGAGAGTACAGTGCGAGAGTGAGGAAGAAGAGGGTGCGTCTCCTTTTGCGGTGTGTGGCGTAGTAGTACCAGAGGACCAGCCCAGGCAAAGCTGTCAGTATGATGACACCCAGCAGGTAGTGCAGCGCTGCAATCCGAAGCAGAAGAGGCAGCAGCACCAGGGCTGGAATCATGGAGATCTCCAGGTTGTCAATCATGGCCCCAAGAACAGGAGACTGACATCCACTTTTAGATGGTTTGCCTTTCAGCCACCTACAGAGGACAGTGGTCATCAGTGAATGTGACTAATTCAGTTGCTCTTTGCAGCATATGTGCTTGTGCTGCACACATATTTCAGTACACCTCAATATATGTGATTTAAATTTCATATAAATAGATTTTTATTTAAGTACTGTGCCCTACTTTATCAAATGCAAGATCTTCAGTGTATCATTAGCTATTTGCGTTCCTTTTTTTAAACATTGTGACTAAATCTCTGGGAAAGTTTTCATATAAAAAGAATGTGACTAACCCTTTAAAGATTTAATACAATTCTGGAAAATTCACATATTCGCTTTGTTTTCTGTCAGTCATTTAAGCTAGCTAGGAAACAGTTAGCTTAGACAGCACGGCTCTATCCACAGGCAACAAACTCTGCCTGCATGAAACTCCTCATCTTAATAATGAACACATTGTATGTCATGTTTATTTGGTACAAAACATTAAAGGCAAAAGCAACAATTTGCTGGCTAGCTATGTTCCCTTGTTTCCAATCCTTATGCTAAGCTAAGCTAACCAGCTGCTGACTGTAGCTTCATATTCCTCTGACCAATAAAGGGAGTGTTATTTGTCCTCTCATACCACTCTCTGCCAGAAAGTGAATACGTGTATTTTTACAAAATCACAAACTATTACCCATTTTCTTTTCTTTCTGTCATTTCAGTTTATCTTATGCTTCTGTGAGGCCCATATTGTTACCAAACAAGTTTACACTTAATCACACTTCCAAACATTAAGGCTTGGGAGCTTGGGGTCCTGGAGTTTTTGGTTGCTTTGCCCAGTTTATAATCCAGCCTAAACAGCACCAGCAATTTTTTGGCAACATTACAAAAAAAAAATGTTGCCATTAAAAGGTATAGCTTCTTAAATAATTTTTAAGAGAAGTGCTACTTCTATGTGAATATGAATGAATATCCAGCGACATTAGATTTTTTTTTTTTTACTTCCCAGTAGTTGACCTAGTTGTTGGGATATTCAAATGGTGGTCTACCCAGTACTGATTCTTTTCCTCAAGGTCTTCATACCTGTTAAAGGCCTCGTCCAGATCTTCACAGTCACAGCAGCATCCGCACGGATATATATCACACTCACAGCAACACATAGGATCATCTGGCTCTGGAGGCTTTAACTTCTCCCATTTCATGATGGTTTGCTAAGTTTACAAGCTGTCATTTCAATACAAAAGGAATTCTTTTTAAAACTTTGTACTATTGAACAATGAACTATACACTACACAACTCATTAGTGCAGGGACATTCTTAAAATATGTAATGACATACTTATTTATAAATGGATAACTTAACAATGTAATATCACAATCAATAGCAACCCTCAGAACAAAGATATATTTTAGTGTTTTCTGCAGCAGCTCAACCTGTACTTTCATCTAACTATAAGATGCTCTGTTTGCTCTAAACATTTATAATCAGATGGTTCTCTTCCCTGTTACATCCCCAAGGGCTTGTAATATAATTTGTTGAAACAAGGCCACAGTGTCCACAGGGACAAACTATCTGGGCCAGCAGTCCTCAAAACTCTGAGATATACTTGTGTTATTGTCAGTGGGAATTAGAATGTTAGTCTGGTTTATAACTTGGGTTACAGACTTGTTATACAGAGCCTATCCTGGATCTACACAGGAATTCACAAGAAAATAAACATGTCACTTAGTTTTTGTCTGTCTTATCCATCCATCCATTATCTATAGCACTTATTCCTTTATAGAGTCACGGGGGGAGGGCTGGAGTCTATCCCAGCTGTCCGTCTTATCATAGTTTACCATTTTAACAATTTTTGTACAACTTAATTTCAGATTACATTATCTAATAGTAATCCCCATTACTCACCAACAATGACTTATTTATCTCTTTCTAGAGTTTTTTAAATCCACCCTTACAAAGCCAAAATAAAATATTCCTCTACTGACTTACCTTTTGTCTCCACAACAAAAATACAAAACTGTCAATACATGTGGGC